CACCTGAACGCTCACATCCTTTTAATTATGTTTGAAATTATGAACATTGCTCAACATCATGAAAATTAAACCTTATTTTCAATAAGCAATCCTGAAAAATATTTGGGGGTGCTTAACTTTTTTCCAGGTGTATATAAAATATAGCTGAAAAAAATAACAATACAAATAATTTATTTTTCATGTCAAAATAAAAGTGTACAAAAAGGGACAAGTTTTGCTTGTTCAAGGATTTTATCTACCAAGAATTGTTCTATAATTAATTTTGGTGTTTATTAAAAATGTATACCTTTTTTTCAGGTGGTCATTTACTAAGTATCAGTAACTGAAAATATGTACCTCTTAATTTCTTTAAGTTTTGTGTTGTTGTGTTTTTTTTTTTGTCATTGTTTAATATGATTTTTCTGTTTTACATTAATTGAACTGTTAATTTTAAGAAGAGAAGTAAAAGTAATGTCTGTTATCCTTACAATGTTTACTACATGTCCTGGTTAGCTGTGTGCTACACTGTAGCTCCAAAAAAGAATTTCATGCATTGTACTCAATATTAGTTTATACTTTTTATAAGTATATTATTATTATTATGTTGAAATTGAGTTAAACCACCTCTGCTTATTTCTAAACTATAAATGTAGCTGTATAAAAATTATACAGAAAATTACTGATGTAATACTCCACTTTATAAAAACAGTATTATTTATTTTATAACTAAAAATGAGTCATTTAAAAAAAACATGTTTATTTAATGAATTATCTTGTGTCATGAAAGTGTAAGCTGAAACATTGTTAAAATTTAGTTAATTTTTGCTCACAAAATGACTTTTTGACTCCATTATTTACTGTGTCACATAGAAACAAATGCTAGCCTGTTATTCAGTTTTGTTTATCATAGTATAGTTTTCTTTTCAGAACTTGAGTCTCCAACACCCAATCTTGACAAAGCCAGTACAGAAGTCACAGCTCGGAAAGTTGGTGAAGCTCTTCAGAATACTCTAGGAACAGTAATGTCAGTGTTTGATTACCCAATTGGTGAGTAGTGTTTATACTGTATTATCCTGTTAGAAAAATAAACCTGGAAAAGTCCTGCATTGTTTTATAGACGTAATAGTTTTAGCATCTGATTTCTTTGTAGCTAGCACTTTTGTAGATTAACCTGATATAAAGTAAAATTGGAAAATACTCAAAGACCAGTGTGAGCTTTTGGTTATGAAGTTGATTAGTTTCCATGGGATTATTCAATTATTAAGTAAATTCTTGTAGAGATCTTTCAGTTTTCATGAAACTGTAATGTAATGTTTTAAAAATTAGTTTAAATAAGGGAAATTTGATTATTTAGAAAAAAAAGTAAAGTCAGATTAGTCTTTCATAGTTGCTTCATAAGAGCAATGGTAGGATTTTTTACTCAATTTAGTGGATTATTGTGATAGCTTCAATATTTATTGAAGGCAGTCTTGTAGCAGTAGTTAGCTTTTGACATAATGTACTGTTATTAGATTCTTCTGTTATTAAATAGAATACCCTCAGAACAGTACTTTTTAACTCTTGATGCCCAATTCTTAAATTAGAATCATTATTTTCATATTGGTAATAAAAGTTAATGTTCTTCAGAAAACTTGGAACACTGATATTTAGCTCTGTAATAAGTAAATTAGACGCTATAATGTAGACACTAAACTGTTTATTTATTCACTTCTAACATGTAAGTAGTTTGGTAGAAGATCCTTTTAGTAAGCTCTACAGAAAAAAAAAAAGATTCCAAGCTGCATGATGATCAAGTTCATATTTTTTGTATTGAATGTGATAACTTGGAAATGTCCTTCAGAGTGCTCTAGAAACATTAGTATCTAGTTTATACAGGTACATAATGTAAGTAATGTATGATCTTATACTTTTACAATTTTTAAAATTAGATTGCAAATGCACAGTTAGAAATATATTTCTTCATCTACTTTTACTTTCTCCAATGGCACGCCTTTTGTTCGGAGTGTAGCAATAGCATAACAGCTATAAAACCTAAGGCTGTCAATTGAATAAGAGAAAGCAGGATTAACATAAAAAGAAACGTGCAGGCTGAAATACAATATAAAATTATTAACCCACAAGCTTTTCAGCTCTTTAGAGAGTTCTTCGTCACATGGAATAAAACACTAACTCGAAAAATATTAGAAAAATAAAAGTCAGTCCTGAAAAAATCATGAAACTATACACATATTGTTACTAAGGCATGCATCAACAATATTGAATTGACCTAATTATTAATTATGTAAATTTTTCTTTTAAACACATTTGTGTCTTGTACAATTTTGTTCTAAAAAATGTAAGATTGTCACTAAATATTAACCATATGGTATAGAAACATTTGTCAATACTTGATGAGTTAACTCTTCCAACACAGGGTCGGTCCATTTGACCGAGTCACGTGACCTTCTGTACTCGTTTAAAGTTGACGTAAATTTAATACTTATAACTCTCTATATATTGGGTATATCTTCATGAAATTTGGCAGTCTTTCAGTTAATATTACAAGTCTTTCACATACAAAAAGTCATATTTCTTAGTGAAGTACTTTTAATAAAATAAAATAAAGTTTTGTCCATGAATATATTGAGTATTTGTTTTGAATAGTTCTTGTGCAAAGTAATTTTCATATTAATATTAAAAATACTTTTCACCATCTCAAAAATCTCAAATTTCCTTTGTGTAATCCCTAAAACCTCCTAAATGCATTTCAAACGTTTTTTTTCACTAAATCCTTAGTTTTTTATGTTATTTTCTCTACCCTAATCTCAAAACTAGATCGGTCAATTTGACCGACCTCATAACCACCAAAAAATATCGAAATGAACCTAAATTAATCTTCTTTTCTTTCTAGCATGACTTCAAATTGTAACCTGAAACTACATTCGTTTATCCTAAGTAGCTCTAAGATCGTAACATTATACATCTATTTATAATTAAATTTTATTGCTCTGTGAACCCTGTCTAACTGCTATCCACAGCATTATAAGTTGTAAATCACTCGGGGAATGTGCAGCTCACATTACACTATCGAATTACATTACCCATGAGCTGCTTGTGTGCGTGCTTCATGAACAATTTTAATTATATTATTATTATTACTTATTTTACCTTTTCTAGTTTTAAATAACTTAAAAAGATCCTTACTTTTAATTTTAGTTATTTATAATGATAAATATGAAAACAAGAAATAAAGTACTTACCCAATTTTTTTTTTTCTTGCCCTCGATTGTTGAGTAGAGTTAAGCCTTATTTTTTATAGCGATTATGGTAAAGCACTTAACAATTTTTATTTACTTAAATAATACACCAAAGAATATAGACTAATAACATGCAAAAAGTAGACAAATTCACTTACTTCTAAACATTTTCCTGGCTTTCTAACTATGAGACAAGAGCTGTTACAAATTCATCCAAGCTAGTCGTTAACTTTCCCATGGGAAAGATGTTGCTACTCTGAGTGACATTGACAGTTATCTGTTCAGAACACAATGTTATACAAAAGGCCATTTGATACATGAAAACCTTGACTTTCTATTGGTTATAAAAAATATATATAATGAAACATAAAAGAGAACTATCAACCAATTGTGAAAGAGAGGATGTTGTAGGAGGGGTCTGATTTTCTCTTTGATAGCTCTGTAACAAAACAAAATTGAAGGCCATAAAAAAGTATGGTCTGTTTGAGCAATAACGATTTTATAGAGAAAATGTTACGTTTAATTTCGTACATTATCGAGGGATAATAGATAAAATAGGGATGATGACATGCTAAGACAAAATTTGTCATGTGTGTTACACTAGTAGAAATTCAGGATTTTTTATATATTTCCTTTTAGAATTAAGAACTTAAAACTTG